AATACGCAGCTAGGTCGTCCTCACTAAATGAGCAATCAGCCAATACATGCTCGAGGGAGCGCATGGTCTGGGAGGGTTAGTTTGGTCACAAGCAGTTGAAATCAATCAGAGAATCTCTAACCACCCAGACTGCCATTGTGCCATGCACCTTGACGTAATCCTCAGGTGTGACTTTGTGCAAAGACTAATCGTCATACATTGGCTATGAAAGCTAGGTAATTACACCAATATGAGGTATGTGTGAATTTGGAATCTAAATACTCTAAACTACAAATTTGACTATTTACTAGAGCGTCGGAGTGCTCACTCTTCTTCTTGTAGGTTTTTGTACTTAGTTGCTCATTTCGAATTCACTCTCTTCGAGTTTCAGAAAGATTTTGGATTCAACATCTAGCACTTCCACCGCAACCATGACCATGACACCTCTGATTGCTATGACCTCAAAGATCAGATCAAAAGCCTTATCCAAGGGGGCCATTTGAAAAAGTACATAGGTTGGGAAAATCATAGTAGTAAGAGTAAAATTGCATCGTAGGATCAGGAACCTCGGTGGGACGATTGCTCCGACCTGCATCCCCAGCTCGCATATACTTAGGTACATTTGAGATGTCCATCTGCCAGGAAGGAAAATAAAAGAAAAAAGTTAATGAACGTTCCAAGGTTAGTTCTAGCAGTAGGGACAAACAACTCACTTATCACACAAAAGTCACTTCTAAGTCACTTCTGACCTCGTAGATCGTTGTCCCATTGGCACTTAGGGTCAGCTAGTTTCCTAAGAGGTAAAATCATCTGTCCTTCCACCCTTTGATGGAAGTCGACCCATCTATAATGGCATTGTAGCCCTTAATTTTATTAGGGCCATTAATGGGCCACCTATTCTAGGGCAGAGGGAGAGATAGTAATGCCTCTCGTTTTTTGCTACCTTTTTTAGGTTATGGGCGACCACCACTTGTTCTATGGTTAACGAAGCAAATTCCTTCCCCCAATCGTACTTCCACCACAAATACTAGCAACCCATCTTCCCCAGTCATTGGGGCTAGGTGACTTCAGACTAAAACAATTGTGGAAATAATGTAAAGGCAACCTTACTCAGTACTTAAATATCTCCTAGAAAAAGCCAACTTGACCAAGAGAAGGGTTTTCTAAAGTCTCCCCGACTTGGGAAGGCCGAGCTTCACATTCTTTTGTACATCATACCTATATTGCCAAATGCTAAGGTACCCTACAGTACACTTAATGGTGAAGGATGATGGATCCTTATTCGGTGCTGAAGGACTAACGGTCATAGCATGCTCCTTCCTATGGGATGAAGTATCCATACCCCTAGTTCTAGCCATCTAATCGACCTTATTAACGACTCTAAGTAGGTAACGAAAGGTGATTAATGATCATTTGAGAAGAATCTTACTGACCTAAGAATCAAACATTAAAATCGTTTGAGTTAAGTTCTGGAAGCGAATTTGAAACTATTGCATATGGGCGAAAACAGGGGATGGCAGAAATTTATATCTTCTAGGGATCGCACTAGGGTAGCACAATCTAGGGTTTGGATTGACGGACATGATTCGCACGATCTTCCCGACTCATAGGAGTGATTGACAAGCGTCAATATGATCACGAGATTGACGACCCAGATTAGAGGAACAACAATCATTGGCCTTCTCGATGTACAGCTAGGATTGCCTGGGGCGACATGCACTGCCTGATTATTTGTGACTGCAGTTCAAGTTAGGAGCCTAAGGCAATAATGAAGAAGCAAAACGTGTTTCACTGAGGGAGTTTGACATCCCATGTTTCAGTTCAGTCTTCATACTCAATAGAGTTTACCTCATGCTCAACCTCTAAAGTGGGGCTAATGTTGTGGGGGAAAAAATCTCCACCACGTGTAATGATAGGAGCCACAAAACGTGAGCCCAGCCGCTCTCACCAAACGAGCAATCAACCTAATACATGCCCAAGGGAGTGCACGGTTCAAGAGGATAAGTTTGGTCACAAGTAGTTGAACTGAACCGGAAGACTCTTTAAGCACCTAGACTGTCATATGTCGTCGTGCTGTGCTGCCCCGTGTGTGACTTCGTTCAAAGACTAATTGTCGAACATCTACTATAAAGCAGGTAATTGCACCAATATGAGGTGTGTGTGAATCTGGAATCTAAACCCCTTAAACTATAAATTCGACTATTTACTAACTTGAACGTTAGAGTGTTTACTATTCTTCTGGTAGGTTTTTGTACTCAGTTGACTCATTTCAAATTTGGACTTTCTTCGAATTCTAGAAAAAATTCGGATCAAACACCTGAAAATATAAAATTTAAAAACTAAAACAAAGTTAAATAGAAAAATTTAAGGATGAAAGTAGAATATAAACTAAAGATTAAAAGGTTTAATGGTAAGATTTAGATTCATTTTGATACTTATGCTTAATTGAGGTAGGTATTGAGTGGAGGTATATTAAGCAACAAAATAATAGCGAAGACAAAAAATTTTATCTTTTAAGGACCAAAATAAAGAAATCTCAATCAAGATACTCAATCCACGGATTTTAATTCAAGTTCATATTTCTCATTGTATATATATTTTTTTGAAACATTATCTTACAAATTTGCGAAAGTATAAATATTAATGTCTAACCACTTAGTGCCCAATTACATGTTAAATTTCTTCCTCTACTTTTTTATTTTCTTTGATGGATTCCAAGTACTTATGCTCTGCCTTTGTTGAAAAACAAATCAAATATATATTTTAGTCTATAACGTTGGAGAGTTTTACTTATTTAAAAAAAAATTCAATTTAAGTATTTACGTTTTTTGAAATTTTCAATTATTTTCTTACCATTGGATAAATGTTAAAATTAGTTGATAATAAACTTACTTGTTATGATAATTAGTAAATTGATAAAATTTTAAAGGAGAAATTAGGGCACCAAACGAAAGAAAAGATAAATTTTCTTCAACTATTTAGAAACTTAGGAGGATGAATTAAAGACCGTCCTCTCTCAAGGAGCATTGGTTCATTTTCAAAATTTTTGCTAACTCACTAAGTATCATATCATGTTAGTTTATCATAAGTCAATTTTAATATTCTTATTGGTATAATTGAAAAATGTTAAAATGTAAGGGACTAAATTAAAACTTTTAAAACAATAAAGACTAAATAGGAAAAAGACCGAAACATTATAAAGCAAACCACATATTTAGAGGTAAATTCGAACATAGCACAGCGGATAAGATGCCTGTTACCATCATAAATGTTGATGGGCCAACCGCACCCTACAACCATTATAAAAACACATATTCAGCAAAAATGAAAAGTAAAAAAGAGCAGGAGAACTAAGCCACCTGTGTAATTACATAATTAAGCTCGATAATTGAATGCTCACGGTGCATAGTTGTAACATAAGTTTAAGGGTAATTGTAGTGGGTAGCAAAAATAATTCATGTATTTCAAAAAATGTCACAAGCTTTTCAAAATTTCAAATATAGCAAAATATTTAAATTTTTATTATTTTGATTTTACTCTTACGATATCTGATATATATCCAAGCTATATTTGTATCTAATATAAATCAAATGTATATTTGTATTTGATATACATGATCCACATAATCACAAGTTTTTTTTTTTTTTTTTTGACGTGCATGATCACATAAACCTTTTATACAATAACTTTATATCTCAAAAAATTATTTTCACCATTGTTTTCATATGAAAAAATAGTGAATATAATAGTATTATATCAACACACATGTATCATAATTATATTAATAGATATCATTAATATAATGATTATATAAGAGGTATATCAATGGTAAATTACAAGTATATTAAGTATATATTAAATATATATCAGTGCTATATCAGTGGTAAATCATATGTATATCAATGGTAATATACATATAACATTAGTTATATCTAAGAAGTTATATAAGTAGATATCATATTTATATCAGTGATATATCATTTGTATATTAATGGTAAATTAGAGACATATCAAGTATATATCACAAATATACATTAATGGTTATCATATGTATACGTATATCAGTGCGGTAAGCCATGTTAGAAATTCAGTAGATATCATAGTTATATCAGAAGTAAATCAATTGTATATCATTATTATATCAGTGGTATATCATAGACATATACCATTAGTCAGATATATTGCAAGGTAAAGTTGTAATTTTAAAATTTGACCTCCATTTTTTGTAAAAAAAAAGCTATATTTGAAAAAAATAAACGTGGTTGTTATTTTTCTTATTTTACTAAATATTTTTGCTATATTTGCAACTGTCCTTAAGTTTAATATATCATTCCCCTCTCGTTAACTTTAACATAACTCAACTACTTAACTCATGTATCCACAAATATCAGAAAAGTAAAAGTTTGAATCAACAGTTGACATATTTTTAATCTT